GAATATCCGACACACAATTATTTCTAAGCAATACATATCTTTTCATTTTATCTGCCATTCTGTTTATAAATTTCCGAAGAGCGTATCAAAATATAGGTGAAGTCAAACAGCTGACGGAATTCCAATGATTATTTTGAGTTCAACGGCCAAGCGCAAAAACACGAATAAACAGAAGATAGAAAAACGCGACCGGAGACCCCAGACTTTTTGTGGCAATAAAGCAAAAAACACGTTGAATGGCTAGCGAAGAACAGCGCATATAGCGAACGTATATATATTTTATGGATGTGCGTACTTAGAGAAAATAAATAATTATCGACGAAAATTATAATTTTCAGAAGTCAACTAAATTTTGAAAAATACAATTATTATAGAGGATTCAAGTCGACAATTAAATAGTTAGAGAAATACTAATGATCAAAGTTGATACTTTTGAAGCTATTTTGAAATTTTGGAAATATGAAAATTATGAAAATTCCGGAGAATTTGATTGATATCCGGCTCGAAGGACCAAATGTGCGCCACAAAGGCATTCAATAGCTCAAATGTGGTACAAGAAAAATGAACTGTTTCTAATCGAAGGCGCAAAACTAACTTTTAAATTGTGGTATGATATAGCGAGGAGTCAAAACAGCTTACCATAGACGATCCGTGGTATCTTCTTTAGAGAAATCCAAGAAAGCTGAATTTGTCACTTCTCGGGAGCTCCCTGGATGCCGGTATTCTTCAAAGTGTAGCACCTGTTCTTATAACGTAGAAAAAGCAGAAATGTATTGCTCATGCGAAGATCACTGTTGCATTTTATTGAATTAGCGAAATAATAATTTATAAGCGGAGATAGCGAAAAAAGCGAAGTAGCGAAATTCGTATCGAACGAACGAAAATAGCAAGTCCGGCGGTCAAGCCAATACTGAATAGTCGGTGAATCGAGGCACAAATTTGTCGCTGAAGACTTTTTGCGATCTGCTTTGGGTTCACTGTTTTTACCTCCATTTTCGCGCAAGACCACATTCAAAAATGAAACTTTAATATTTTTCGTTCCAAAACCTAACAAGGATTAAGTTTGTTCCTCAAATGATCTATATGTTTATTCCACAATAGTCGTTCATCAATATAAAGACCTAAAAATTCTGTAACATCTGTATATTTGATGAGTTCATTGTTGAAGGATAGTGTCCTATTTGAAATGTTCAATGTTCTTTTTGCTATGTACATATATGAGGATTTTTTATAATTGAGAGATAGTTTATAAACTTGTAACCAAGAGGATATTTCCTCTAAATCACTTTTCATGTCCATGATAATATTATTCGAATCTTTAGAGGAATAAATCAATGTCGTGTTATCTGCAAATAATTTGAGTTTTCCTCTCAATTCCAAGTTTGATATTGAATTTATGTAGATCAAAAATAAAACTGGTTCCAACACTGACCCTTGCGGTACACCGCATGAGATGTTCATTAAGGAGCTACAAGTACCACTCACTTCAACATATTGTTTTCTATTTGATAGATAATTTTTGAACCAATCATGAATTCTTCCTCTGACACCAATTGCAAATAATTTATTTAATAAAATGTTATGGTTGACAGTATCGAAAACTTTACATAGATCTGATGACAATAAACCGCATTGATCATTTTCATCTATTCGTAATTGGATATCTGAAATAACATCCATAACGGCTACTTCAGTGTCTTTCGATCTACGGAATCCATACTGACCACTGTATAGCAAATTGTTATTTTCCAGGAAATCAAGTAGACGATAATTCATAATTTTTTCTATAACTTTTGAAAGAACCGGGAAAACAGAAATGGGTCTGTAATTATTCATATCATCTCTCCTGCCAGTTTTGTATATAGGCAATACTTTCGCAATTTTCATTTTGTCAGGAATAAATCCACTTTTGAAAGATTTTGAAATAATTTTCAACAATATAGGAGCCAATTCATATTTGACTACCTTCACAATATTATTAGTTATATTATCAAATCCACAAGACTTTCGTACATCCAAGTCGTGAACAATATCTTCAATTTCCGAAATGCTTGGGGGCTTAGGAACATAGATAAAACGCTTGAATGATCTACTACTGTGTCAGAAATCAAAGTAATTTCTGATGATAAATTTATACCAACATTGATAAAATGGTGATTGATTGCACTAGTCATCTCATGAACATTTTCAATTTTAATATCGTTCACTGTAATATATTCAATATTTTATGTCTTATTTCTTGATTTATTATACAGCAGTGAATTGATACCATTCCAAACAGATTTGGGGGTACTATTGAAGAAATGATTATCATAAAATTTTTTTTTTGTATCTCCTATTGTTTTTTTCACCAGTTAATTATATAAGTTGAATTGCTCATCAAAATAATTTATATTAGGATATATTTTTCTTTAATAATGAAATGTATGTGCTTACGTTATTATCGAATCATGGTTAGGAATCATTTTTTATTCTAATTATTCTCGAAATCAGACATGTATTGAAAATGTCCAATAACTTACCATATGCCTCATCAATATCATCATAGTTACCAATATTTTTATTGAGAATTTCCAATTCACTTCTTAATTTTTCTACATCATATGTTTTTATCAATTTGTTCACATATTTTCTATTATTTGGGTTTGCATCAGGTATGCAAGTCAAGTAAAATTTGTAGTCACTCAGTGAGTTATTAATAAACAAATACATCAAGAACTTTTTCTGAATTAGTGATAAAATGGTCAATAAGTGATAAGTTTCTAGTTGGAATATTTTCATTGCAAATTTAGAAATTTCTGGATTTGTAAATATCTACTGGATCTTTGGATTCATTGCTATCCGATAATAAATTAACGTTCATATCACCAAAAAATTAACTAACACATTTGAACTTATTGATATTTTCAAGCGTCATATCCATGAAATTCAGAAAATAATTTATATTCCGATCTTGCGGCCGATAAATGCCACAAAGTAATATTTCTGGGGATTCAATTTTGATTGCTAAATACGTCAAAATGGTTTCTCCTTTTTGAATAATTTCGAAATTTAGATTTTCATGGATGAAAATTCCAACACCACCTCCTCTTTTTTCACGACTAGCATAGACTGCATTGAAATTCTTGAAATTGAAATATTTTTCCTCTTCCTTATTCATCCATGTTTCACCTACTATGATGGCTGCAACTTCCAGTTCACTGATGATGATTTCTAGTTCATTCATTTTATTTTTGAGTGATCTTGAATTGAGATATAAAATCTTCATTCTCTTTATGTCATAAACTTGAACATCATTTATCGAATTTATTCCCGATAATTTTATAGAATGATTGTTATTCATAATGATGTTTTTTTATAATAGTTATAATCAATCTGAGATTTGAGAAGATCCAGATGGAATTTGTGAGTGGGACACTTTTCGTCTTTTGCTGAATGATTCACACAATATTCTTTTTTATAGCGGTTATTGGAATTAACACAATTAAAGCATTTCAGTTCATTGCTTTGACAGAATGTAATTTCATGTGATCCACCACAACGGGGACATACTATTTCATTATTACACTTATTAATTTTGTGATTGAATCCACAACATTTATCGCACTGTGATATAATGTTGTTGTCATATACTGTCAAATTCTGCCAGCCAACAAATAATTTACCATAATTACTTGCCATGATCTTGTTCATTAGTCTCCCATTAATTTCAGCAAATATTGTATGTGTTTTTGATTCATCAAAATATTTCATAAACTCAATATGAAAATTATCTCCTTATCCTCATCATTGAATTTTGTTTAATGATAATTTTTTCTCATTCTTCTTTCGTTATATTGCTTTCCAATATTATATTGTTATTTTAATTTTAGGCTTGATTAATTTTTTTATTTCTGCATCATATTTAGAGAGTAATTTCTCAATAATTTCTTGTTTGACTTTTTCAATATCTTCCTTATCCTTGCATTCAATAATCATATTGCCATTACGCATCTCTTTCATGTAATGTATTCCTATACCAAGTTTGCTAATGTTTGAGTTGTTTTGTAAGTCCTCTTTTGTTTTTGAAGATGACTGATTAGTTTTTGGTTTCAATATTAGGGTCTGTTCATTTTGCTTAGGTGGAGATATAATTTGTTTTAAGAACATCAGAATAGCTTAAACAATTCACTTTTATTTCATTTTTTCATGAATGATTTCAATTGTTTTCTTCATTTGATCTAGGGTTTCCATTATATTATTGTCATCAATCATATTGGAAACTCTTAAATTATAATTTTCCCCGAATCTTCCATTGAGTTTTGTTAAATATTTAATTTTATCATCTTTTTCGGCAATCAGTATATCTTTTTGTTCGATAATTTCTCTAAGTGAACGAATTTTCTCTTCATTATGTTCCTTGTCCTTACTATTAATAGATTTTGATGATTTATCAACATAGTCAACCTGCGTGTAATTAGCAGAAGAACCTCCTTGTGATTTGAATAAATCACTTTGGGAAGCACTGACACCGCTCAAATTGAATTGTTCACCAGATTGAGATTGATCTGAAATATCATATTCAACATGAGTCTTTTCATCACACGTATTTTTATTTCTTTTCTTTCTCCTCATTCTTCCCAAATTATGGTATTATCTTGACATCTTGACACTGTCAAAATAAGATATTTCCAATTTCACGTTCAGAAATTATCAGTTCTTCTGCAGGATACACTTGTTCTTTTATAATTTCTTGATGTTTATAGATGAAATAATTTTCTTGTCGACACAGCGGAATATATTCACTATTCAATCTGAATGAATTTTATAAATACAAGAGACTGTGACACCTCTCAATACTGTACTCTAAAAGTTATTCAAGTGAGCCTGATATTTGAACCCTCACAGCTGAATACGGTAGGTATCACTAGGATAGTTAAATTTCATTATTAGGATGGTGAGGTTCTGAAAAAATGCAAAATGTAGTGACGAGTGATTGGTAGGGGATATAATGAGTAGAATTTTATTCATATAGATATTTTATTGGTGAACAAATGATATGATATATAGAATTCAAGAACAAGAACAACAGTATGTGTAGAATTATGATGAAGCATCCAGGAAATAAAAGTTCATAATTTGGTGCAAGAAATTATACCTTGATTATATGATATTGAGAATCCTAAGTTTCATTCATCCATTCTTTTTTTATTAAATCTGCTCCTTTCTCGCCAATTGCTAGGGTAGTAGAAAATGTATAGGCTGAAATAGTTCTAGGCATAACTGACGCATCGACAATCCTCAGTCTCTTTACTCCATACACACGTAGCTTACTATCTACTACAGCATATTTGTCAGAAGATGGTCCCATTCGACAACTTGAGGTGAGGTGTTTGCAAGCAAGAGTTTTATATTTCATAGCGCATATCCAAAATTCATCTGAATCATATCTGGAAACAAATAACATCAGTTATTGATACAAATATCAAGATTGAACTTTGATGAACGTTTTCATTGCAGGTGATTTGTTCGGATTTGCATGAGGTTATGAAATTACCTCAGGAAACAAGAGTTCACTTTGATTTCCACTGAGAGAAGAAGTACATTCTCTCTCAGTTTTCATCTGTGGTCCGAAAGGCTGAAGTAATGCGAATGAAAATAATTATAGAAATATCATAATGATTTTCCGAGAATGTATCGATAAATTGTAAGAATAACTTTCGATTCATTTCGCCTGATTCAGTTGCCAGAAGCCATACTGGTATGATCATAGATCAACCAGTATTAATATGAGTTATCTCAAATGAGCGTCAACATCAAACAATTTGAAAATTGGTTGGAAGAACTGAGTTGTTATCATATTCACCTGTATCTCGCCACCTATAATAATGGAGATACGGAAGCTTTGTATGATCTCTAGAATAATGGGGATAATCATCTAATGTTACGACTGTCTCATTAGCCTTGACTTGATAGAATTCTTCGATCCCTATGAAGTTCAGTAGGTATGTAAGTGATTGATACCACGTAACTGTGAATTAAACCTCGCAACTGCGAACTGCGTGGAAATGTCGAATCGAGAATAATAAAACCCTTGTCCCTTCATCAATTTGCCAACTCATAACTCTGATAGATCTTTGAAAAATTGAATCAGAAGTCTCTCAGCCGTAAATTATGATAGGGCATCCTGTAATCCAATATACATTGATTGTAGTTTTCAAGTATTACATGAATTCAAGGACTGAAACATGACAACATTTTTAACAGAACGTGGTTGCATATCGAATAAATAATAATTTCAAGATATCTTTATATTATTGATCCACCCACAAAGTTCACCATCTTTAACCATATAAGTACCCTTCATCGAAATACAAAATACTGTATGGATTTCATCGAATGAGTTTCATTATTGCCTATGTACCTACCAGTTCCAGACATGTGAGTGTCTTTCTACTGAAATCTCCGCAACAAACAACACTTGTTGGCAATTGCATCTGGACTCAAGAACTTCATCATTTTACATGAAAGCTTCTTGAGAATTTGATAGAGATTCTACTGATTGACAGGCGGCACCAACCGAATGTGAAATACCATCAATGAATGCAGAGAAATGTACTTCCATGAACTCATGAGAAACTAGCTCTTACTGTACGGATTTCAATAGTTTCGTGTGATGATAGAAGCAGATATCATGTTTGTTCCCCTGACCATGTTATGCTTACGCGAGGCGATCATCATATGATTAATTACGAAACATGCTGGAGATACTGAATGACCAGGGATATCATATACCGACGTTATTCTGATGGAATAATCATATTTGTCGTGAAAAATCATTTCAACTCAAGAATAGAACTCATGCATCAAACATGATTGATGGAACATCGAACAATACCGGGTGCCAAAGAATATTTCAGAAATGTCATGGTTTCCAGAGTTCTGATGAAATGAGATTCAAATTTGGCAGGGATATAGGATTCGAGAATCAGAATTTTTTGAGCTTGCGAATCTCGAATAGAAAACCCTCAATTCCATTATTATATTATAATTGGTAAGGGATTATCATACGGAATTCAACGATACCAGGTTTCACGTGGTTATTACAAACGACTACAGAGATATTCGCGTTCATTTCATACAAAATTCGAAATTTCATTCCTCTTAGCTATTTGAAGAATATATATTTTCGTCTGATTTACTCAAAATTACAATATTTGATATCAATTTGGGAAAGCACAAGTATATCACATTTGAAACCAATGATGAAATTACAAAATAAAACAATTAGGTGCATTTACAATTTACATTACCTGGAACCAACTATTCACCTTCACAAACCAAAGAATCTATTGAATTTATCATCTTCATCTGAAATGAGAATTTTTTCTTTCATTGATTTTGTGAGAAGAAAAAATAAAAATGTTAAACTTGAACTTTACTGAAGTTAATACAATTCATACTCATGAAACGAGACAGTTGAATTCATTAATTGCAAACCCATCATTGGCACACAATCAATATTCTACAACGGAATCATTTTATATAATTCATTACCTTGTGATTTGAAACATATCGATGAAGAAACAAGATTCAAAGTCAATATGAAGGAATATATACTCATGACACTATAAAAGGAGCAATTTATTCTCATTTGAATACTTGGACTGATTTTATTTCAATTATTTTGTTATATTGACATAACTTTTTAATTAGTTGTTTTATTCTTATTGCTTTATACATATCATATGTTTATATATCGCTATTATAAACAAATGTTTTTTGGGGTAATGAACAACAACAACAACATTTCCATTTATGCTGAATTAGTGTAACATAGAGAGTCGTTTCGATATTGCGCTATGGAAACTTCGAATGCAAATATCTATGTGGTCGTTCGACCAAACCTATCAGACCCAGTATCCTTGAATGCGTTATGATAATTGCTAAGTGATCATGGAATAAAATCCAGGATGTTCTATCTGCAAAATCAGAAGTTGGGGTCGTTTCCAGTGAAACCAGAAGTGATGGGATAGTATTGAATACCAATAACTTTCACAATTCATGTATTCAACATTCCTGCCAAGTTTTGAAATCATACCCTCAGAATAATGGAAACTATGACTTGTCTTATGAATATTGTTGACACCTCCTGGTATTTGCAATGAGACAAGTATGTTTCAAAGATTTTCAATTATGGAACTGATGCTTTATGAGTGCATTCTTTCTACTCCATCCGAAACGCTAGTTATGGGTGGGGTCATGTATTTTATCTAAATATTGATGTTTTACTTTTCGACATGGTGTAATGATTTCCGAACGAGCTCTATGAGGTCGTTTTTAGCCAGTGCGAGTGAATATGATGAACTTATCAAGAGTGAGCAACGACACTCTATCATTGGAACAATATCATTCCTATTGTGATAATAAAATATCTGAAGTGAAAGAGGTGAACCAATAACATTCTGAAAATATTTTTCTCATAGGAATCTCTCATTAATTGACGGGGTCAACAATATAATATTTTGAGCTCAATAGTTATTTGTATCATCATGTTATGCATATGCAATAGTGCGTCGAAGCATGATTGCTTGAATTATATGATGGGTATAAGGGTAAATCAGGATATATTGTGAAGAAGACAACAAGGTACATAACTGAGAATCATTGCTGCATATACAGAGCGCACCGAAAAAATTGTCGGGAGCATTTCTTTAAATGGTATACCCAGTATATCACCAAATTTTTGTATGCATTTCTGACACCTTCATCCGTTTCTTTGATATCATTGACTATATCTCGATCATTTTGAAGTTATGCTTTTTTGTCGTAATAATTTCATCTGCAAATGCAATTCTCATGCCCGCAGATCATACATGTTGGCTGTGAATAATTTTCCAATTTGAAACATTTTGAAGTGATTTTTCTCGAGATTTTCAAAATCCCATATATTTTTTTGGCCATATCATATTGATATTTATAACAATATTTGAATTATTGAACTTTGAGAATCATAGGCTGGTCATTGAAATTGACACACGTTTTTATATGTTGAAGAACGTCAAGAGCTCATTTAGTAGGTCAATAATCTCAGATATGTTTCCAAAAAAATTGATACTAGAATCAGAAACCAACTGCATTGAATACCCATCCCCCAAATATTCAATGAATTTATAACAAATTGATAGCGATCTAGGATAATAATTCAAATAAGAAATATTGAGATTACATTATGCAATTTCGAATCACTAATCCGATGAAGTATTTGATTTTTGTTATGTAGTTTTACAATGATTTTCTCATTCAATGGAAAGCTACACATGTTGATATTGACATACTACTGTGCACGGTTGGAAAATATCTCTTACTCCTGATAGCATTTACTATCCTTTTTTTATATTTCCAATTGTTGTTGGTGTATCTCCATACACGAATTTCTTCATTCATTTCCATGAACCCAAATCAATGCTTATGAAATCAGGAGATATAGCAGGCCCTTTGGTGGGTCCGTTTCTCCCATACTGCATACAAGTAGTGTATCACCATCTTGCTGAAACCACAGTCTATCGCTTTCAGGAAGATTTGGTTATAATTGCGGTAAAAAGTATTTCAAGAAGTTCAAATCAATTCTTTCTGTCAAGGTACCTTCTGAAAAATGTGTCCCTCTATTACATTTCCTTCAATGTTTTCTTTCCAAAAATGTATTGACCATCTTCGCTGATAACAGCTTAGGATGCGTATCAATCGAAATGGCCTGTATATAAATGGTTACGAATATCGATATGGATGTCGGGACAAAAGATGATCGTGATTTTGGAAAACATGGTCAGAAAGTGTATGCTGATAATAATTTCTAGACACCCTGTATTATTTGAGGGCAGAGAATATATTCAGAAATATTATGCATTTTTCTATAGGAGGAAATTATAATTATTTCCCTTGAATTCCATCACTGCAAAGACAGTGATTTTGCAGGTATGCATCTGCAGATGACATGATTTCGACAAAAAAATTAATAACTCTTGATATGATCAAGGAATCGTCAATTTCATCGAAGGGATTGATAAAGGTCACAGATGCTTTCAAAATGTGCCAATGAACAGGGCATTCTATTATGCACCGACTCTCCAGTGTTTTTTGGTGCGTTTTGTATAATCATGCATCAATTATTTCTGATGGTTATGGACCTTTTCTCATTCACAACAGATTCTGAATTATTCTTCTACCTTTCCTTGGACTCAAAATTTCAAGCTATGATGCAGTTATGTCCCACTTTGTATAGTAACAATGATAAATCAACTTACTCGTGTATGATTCCACAATCACCATAATTTGTTTTATTCAGTTCCATGCCATACTTTTCTTTAAGGTATGAATTATTTGCGTATTTCTGCAATATTCGAATTCCATCCAGCAGGACCTTCTGATCATTTGGTGAAGTCAAGTAATTTGCCACCATGATTGGTTTCTCAAACAGATCTGCCGATTTTATGGAAATATATCCCCTGCTCTCGGGATGCAAAATTGCGGGCGCAATACGGATAGTAGCAGGTTCGTTGGGATGTGAGGGATCTTCTAATTCATTAGATGAACCAGTTCTGCTGCATTTGGGAATGAAGCCAAGAAACATCAAAAGGAGATCGGGGTTTTTGCCAGATGGTTCAGCATACTTGGAATTGAGTCTGGCAAGGAGCTGTCTCAAACCTGGAATCATAATCCACATTTTCTCACAACTCGATCATTTCGAGGGGAGTCATCAAAATAGTATTTTATGTGAATCAGTTCACCAGTGAACTGGTGAAAATTTGTGAATCCTGATGATTGATTTGAGCCTGTTATCCCTGTTCCATCGTCATTCGTGAATCACGTAGATCAGACAGATTCGTTTGGAACCCTAACAATTCATTACTATACAGAGGGTGTTTCAAAATTAAACCGACAACCCTTGATGGGTGATAGCCCTCGTGATTCATGTTGTGTTCACTCTATAACCCAAGATTTGGATTATCATATCATATGCTTGTCATTGAAGTTCTTCACCTGATGTTACTACTCTTCATAGGAGATACTTAATTCTAGAGCAGATACGTAACTAATTGGCCACGGGAACGAAAGAAACCCTCAAAAGCTAGAATGAGTTCACAAAAAGGTTAGAGAATTTTTTCTTGGTGAAAGATTTCAAGAGTACTTCGGAATGTAATGAAAACAAAGAGGAAGAATGTTCATCACCATATAAACTGAAACTCTACAATTTCAATATTATTCAATTCGTCCAGAGGATCCTTAAACTAAATCGTATTGATTAATATACGTATCAGTTATCTCTCACATGAATTTCCGACAGTGATGTCACTTCAAACTTTTATATTTCATCCAAATGTTTTCTATTTTTCCAGCTTGATATTAACCCATAGGAGTCGGAACGTGTAACGCAAAATAAATTTTCAATAGATATCAGAATTGGAGTAGGACTTATATTGTTTGCTCCCATTATCGTATTTTGACCAATTCAACCATTATTGAGTCACCAATTATACTTTCAAGTTATTGCACTAAACGTGCGTATTGAACCTTGACGTAGGGTTTTTATAAAAAACTCGACGTCTTAGTGATTTCGTGATTTTGTTGATTGATATCATCACAACTTTGGAATTGGATCAAAAGTAGTTTTCACTAGCGATTACTTTCATCAATGACGAGTGTGAGTGAAAATAGGGGCAATAAGAACACTAAGGTGCATTATGACATATCATATTGTGACTAACGATCGTTTCATGGAATAACATTCAGTGGTGATATGACCACTATTTCAACATTCGAAATGATTAAAATTCCATAAGGTTCATCGAAATCACTAGAAAACCTCTTCTCTCAATAATTGAATCATTAAAGAACAAGAGAAAATTATCTTCTCACAATGCAACCAAATGTAAAAGAATGATTGAAGATAAGAACTCTTGAATCTTGTGAATAAATATTCACTTTCGAGAGTCTTTATGATTTTGTCATTATTTGCACCCCCAGATTGGATTATTCATTCAATACTAAAGGTCATGATTGCCATTGGCACAACATAATTGATGTTGAAGGGGTGTATCAGCTTCTGTTTCAAATCGGATTTCATCAGCACGGCAAAAACAAATCATTCTCTAATCAAACGACTCTCTTCACAATATTGTACTCATGAAAATGGCGGTGAAGATCATGAGAGATATTTAGACTCGTTCAATTGGTCACGAATCGATAAATGAACTCGAACTGTACCTGGAGCTGACAATGGTCCACCTCTCTTGTCCTTGTACCACTTGACATTCTGAAAGCTCATCTCGTTGAAGTCCTTCATTTTGTTCAGGTTGTAAACCAACCCAAGAGAAACATGATCTGTTAGATTAATTCCAACTCCTGGCAAATCATGGACCACATCGATTCCAACGTTCCTCAAAGTTTCCATTGGACCAACTCCAGATACTAACAGGATATGAGGGGTATTGATGGTACCACCTGCCAGGATAATTTCTTTTTTGGCTTTCACTGTGAAGGTTTTATTTTTATAAACGAACCGAACGGCTGTAGCTGTTTTGTTACTGTCGAAGATTATTTTGGAGGCCGTTGAGTTGATCATGATGTGTAGGTATGGGTTGTTTCTCAAAGGGCTGAGGAAAGCGTTCGCTACGGTCTGACGATGACCATTTCTGAAAAATTGATTAGGTGCATTGGGGGAATTATCAGGGCAATTATGATATTGAGAGATGGGATCACAAAGTATATTTATTCATAATTAATTCCAATTGATTTCTTTTTCTACACAAACAAGTAGTTGTAATAATACAACTCTATTCCAAGTGAGGCTTCACATTTCATATAATTTATACCTATGATGTAACAATGTGTTACTGAATAATTTCAATTGTTCATTCATATAATTATATATTAATTTATGATGTCAGTTCATCAACTAAGTTTTTTGTGCTATCAATGATATTTTATTTAATTTGTGTGAGACACCTGGTATGTCACTAGATGATGTATGAATCGGAGGACTGATTCATGCCGGGGTACTTGCGCAACAAAAACCGGTGGTGAATCAGAAGATCGAACGATAATCAGACAGTGCGAATCGAGCGTCCAAAGTCTTTACTATTGTTTTTAAGATTATTAGATTGGCTTGTTAGTTATCAAGGAAATGAAACTATTATTGCATTCCTGAATTCTGCCCAGGCAAGTCTGAAATTTCCGCAAGAAGATGGCTAGACAAAATCGGACAAATTGATAAAATAAATAAGTGGAGTGATCAATTGAAAATTTATAATATGCAGTCTCGATTGTCTGGGCTAGTCAAAACTTGATATAATAGCTTGGACGAATATGATCAATCGTGGACAGAATATAAACAGTTGATCGAAAAAGCGTTTCCTGATCATCGAAATTTTTCATCAACACTAAAAAAAATTATTGCTAGGAATAAGAGATCGTCCGAAACTTGGACTGAATATTTTCTCGCCTGAATGGAATTGCTTTGAGCTTCCAGTATAGCAGATGAAAATGCAGTAGCTATGATAATAGATGCAATAACTGACTGTGTCACTTATAATGGCGCAAAAGCCGGACGATACTCCAATAGAGAAACGCTTCATACTGAGTACCTTTCATTTCTTACGCCAGTAGAAAGTCCACGACTCGAGATCGGTGAAAGTAAAACCAAAAAAATTTTCAGAATTGGCCGGGAGGATCAAACAGCGTCAGTGTTAAATTACGAAAACCAATCGAAGAGAGGGATTGAGTGTTTCAACTGCAGTCAATTAGTGCACATCATTAGGAATTGGTCGAAACCACGTATAGAATGCAGGTATGATAAACGTTTGGGACACGTTGAGGCAAAATGCCCCCGCAAGCAAGCACCATTTCAGAAATGGGTAATGAATTGTACCATCCCTACAAAACAAATGAGCACTATATTGTACCATGTGGAGTCAATGGTTATTTATCTCGAGCATTCATGAATACCGGATGTTTCCTCATGAGTAAACGAAAGGAAAATGCCGAACAGTTTGGTGTAGTTCAAGAACCTTGTATTATACAGATTGACGAGAATGCTGTCGAAACATCGAATGCATTGGGAAAAGCCATTGTGAAGATCGAAGCGGATTCAATCCGAACTGATGCTCCAGGTCTTGTTGTTCCAAACAAAGTCCAATATGTTTCTGTGATGATTGAACAAACGTTGCTGAATAAAGAAGATGTGATGTTGGTAGTCGAGGATGTTGGAATACGATTTTTCCACTCGGAGATTGCCCAACTCCTCAATTAGAACAGCTACCTCTGAGCCAGATGAACATGGTTATTTCTAAGGGCATAGAGATTCTTTCAAACCATATCGGATACGTGCAGTTCAAGTCTTCGAATGAATGTGAATGTTATATTCTCGTCAGGAAAGACCAGAACCTTTCCAAGAACACTTCATACCCAGATACATAACTTCCACTACTAGCGGTGTCCTGCCAGTCCTCAATGCGTCCACCTTACTTTTGGAGTTTCTGCTTCTCTTCTTATGGCTATCACCTCAAGTATGCCATAATTTATTGAGTATTCTTCCACTCCATACGGCGTTGAATGATGTATCATCTTATACCATAGCCATTATTTCCAGCATCCTCAAGAAACCCATCCCAGCACCTACATTGTTCCTACTACATAGCTGTTGGGAGTAACCACCTGCGCTTTTCAAAAATTTGTAGATGACAGTATTCTGCATACTGCATTCTTCTCCAGAATTCCCATTCCATGTTTACTCATATGGAATGCTGATCTTTATACCTACCATGATGCTCTTCGATTCTATTGAGAGACGAGCTATTTACTTGGTTAGCAATATCATACCCACTAATCTCTCAACATATGAGAAACCGTAGGGGAATCAGCAAACTTCTACTGCTCTTCAAGTACTTTCACAAGTTAATTATGTTCTTTAGAAATCTCGACAAACTTGAAAAGCTCAATCAGCCAGATGGATTTTATGCATGAATATTTCCTGCCGAAACCACTGATCGGAAAATTGCAGTAACTGAACAAGTTGTTCGTGTAAGGGGGTGGAGTGAGAACGAATATGTAGACTAATTTAGATTCGATAACAGAATAATAAAACTGCAGAACAAAAAGTATTGAACAGAAGAAAAAAAGTTTGTTCAGGAAGAATAGACACTCATCTAGAATCAACAAGTGGAAGATAGTCGACAGATCAAGTGAACACTCCGAAAACTTGAACGATGGAAATTTGCTTTCCCAGACCCCTAACGCAGATTCGCGAATGGGTTTCCTCAATTCATAATTGATCAACATCAATTCATCGAACAACTGTCAGTATAGTCCAGTATGAATTGGCGCATGACTATCGAAAATCATTTCACCTCAATAATGTTATGCGATACTCTTCAAATTTCCCAACTGATGATATAAATATATGTTGCCATGGAACAACCTGGTGCCATATTGTTTGAACCGGAACTGTTTGGACAAATGCGAGGAATTGTTATATTCCAACCAGACATTCTTTGTTTCATATTCTTCATCGATATTCAAATGAAAAAGATTTCATGACTTTTCGCGATAAGGTTGATATTTTGAGAGATATAAGTTTTTATAGGTTCCAGAAATCTCAAATATAAGTACTTTTCACCTATTGAAACTATAATATAAAAAAAAATATGAATGACCCATTCTTTCAATTCTCCATCATATTATAGTTACGAATATTTTCGATAGGGATTTACGAAAATGTCATGGTTTATACCTGGTTTCTATTTGTTAATTTCGCGCGCTCACAAGTATCCGTGTGTTCCTGACTCACGCGCTGCGATGGCTTATCTGAATCAAGAATCATTATTAATCTTGAAAACTATTTACTTCATCGGGATTGTTGAAAAAGCAATGTCATTATTATTTAGATAGTCTACAATTTGTTCCCAACAAATATTCTGCTGGAATCATTTTGTCAAGAGTTATTTTAGCATGAATTGAAACATGTAATTTGAATTACTTCTTTATGAGTTTGTATTACTCTTTGTATATAAAACATGAAATGTTTACATCAAATAATTTCTCATAACGAAGGTTGATGATGTTGAAGTGAAAAATAATAGGAGAGTTTTCTGAAAATGTATTCATTCATCATCGATATCATTTATATATATTATAAACACACCTACATCTAGAAGAATGCAACTCATATGATTCATTTACAGTAACGAGCTCTGGTTTCAATGTAAATGTATGTTGAGCAGGAGCTCTGGGTTCATGCGAATCTGATCTGCACGGAATTCTTGATAAATCGATATCAGTGCCGAAGCAACGAGAAAAAATAATTTGTCTAGCTTGGAAACAATTCAATAATGACCAACGGTCATGGACATAAGGACATGTTCCGAAGGATTAATCCTTCATCATTAGCAAATTCATAGAAACAAAATCCGTTAGGAAAAAAACTGTTTATGTTAGTTTCGAATATTAATTGGGAATTTCAATGTACTACCCAGGTAGCCAGACTGACGTATGTGACGTCTATAGGACCGCTATCTAAGGTCTTTTTTGGTCTCATACGTCTTTTGACCAAATTATGACGTCATGCGGACGTCATTAATGTGACGTTTCATGGACAGCCACTGATTGACGTTTCATGGACAGCCACTGATTGACGTCGTATAGACGTCAATCTATGGTCTTCATATTTTCTTGGGTATTATTATCATTATCATTATCATTATTATTATTACTATTATTATTATTATTTTTATTATTATTATTATTATTATCATGTATGTATAGGAAAACTAAGTTATAAAATGAATCAATCAATTTATCCAAATAACTGTATTAATGTATGATGAAAATGTACTTTATTCCATAGGCTTCCCTTGATTTTCAATGTTTAAATTTAGCGCCAAAGACAATTCTCACTTACCGACCAGATGGCCAATGGCGATCAAGTAATTACGCGAAGAGATTGTGTATGCGACTCGCGACCATCTTGCGACTGCCGTTAGTGGCGTTAGTGCCGTTCAGCGGCCCGTTCTGTGGTTCAGCGTCAAGCTTGCATCGTGCATGGTGCGTTCTCGTTCATGTTCATTGTCCATCGTCCATGTTCGAATGGGTGTTGTTTGTGAACGGCGTCTGTGCCATTGAATTTGTTAAGAATGTTAAAATGTTGAGTGTTTGAGTGGTATTTCTATACAGTCTGTTTTTCACGTGAAAGTATTCAGGATGTATTGTGTAATACAATTCGATGACAGTGGAAGCAACAGAGTGTAGCTGTTGTTCACGAAACTTGGCTGACGCCGTTGAAGAAGGAAGTGTTTTGGCCGCCATTTAAAGACAGCAAAACATACAAAAGAGCTCTCAGTGAAGGGGAGCCATCGACGCTGGAATTTTCAACTATTTATGTAATACCTTACATTACTATCTTGTTAATAAAATCTTCATTCGTAGCAAATTTATTCTATAGCACAAATGATTACCTTCCTCACCAGATTATAACCTCAAAATTTTATAAAAAAAACAGACGTCTTATTGACGTCGGAAATTGGTCAGTAGTGTCAGTTCAAGGTCCAATTTGAAAACACATACTGACGTCTAAAAGACTTTCAAATATGACGTCATTTGGATGTGTCTTACTTACGTCATTTGGACGTCGCATTTGCTGAAATAAAGACGTCTTTTGGCCGAATGTGATGCCGTCAATTAGACGTCATATAGTCGTCATGTGCTACCTGGGTAACCATTATTGGTAAAGAAATATTACTCGAATAACGTGGAAAAAACTATTTTTTTCTGTGACGGGAAGAAAGTTTGGCATTTCATCCCTGTTGACTGGTCTAAAAATGTCACTTCTCATCAGAAACTTTTTTCCCGTGAGGAAAAAGTGAGTCCTTCATTCCAGGATATATATCATGTATATATACACTAATGATGGCTTCTGTTGTGCTATAGTTCCGAAGAATAAGTCAATTATACTTCTACGAGAACGAACTGCAAGTCCTTTTATATCCCATTCGACATCGCGATTATGTAAATTACTTAACAACCACGAAATTTGCAATTTTTTTCAAATCGAATCACAGAATCAGACTGACAAGAGTGACATCAGATATATGATTACTTCAAAAGAATGATAAAGATGTCGACAACGCAGGTGTCCCTCCTGTTAAAAACTCCAAATTTCACGTCGATAACTTTCAGATTTCAGAATTATGTGATATCTTCTGTCACAAAACAAAAAGAGTAGTTCACACAAGAAAAATATGATATTTTAGCTCACACAACCTGGAGCTAAAATGAACTACTTTTTCCCTTGTATGATAAATAAATATATAACCGCGCATAGTGCGTCTGAATTTGTTGAATTAGGTTAACTAATCTCGAATGATTGACAAATGACAATTGACCACAATGACGCTAAGGACAAATTACAACATCAGAATGACACCAATCAAGTCAAAACCAAGCAATATTTTGATTCAAAGTGACATAGAACACCGAACAAAATAATTAGGAGTTGAATAATTCAAGACTATCGATTTGAGTTTGTTTATTGAGGCAGTTGATGTTAGAGTTCTTGACAGCTTTATTATGCCTCAATGAACAAATTCAATTCGATAGTGTCAAATTATTCAACTCCTCATTATTTTGACTACAATTCGGATCCGTATTCTATGTACCTTTTAATCGAAACATAGGTGTCATTCTGATGAAAGTGTTTTGTCCTCAGCGTCATTTTGATTTGTCGATTGTCATTTGTGATTAGTTAGCCTAATTCAACTTATTCAGACCCACATGTTGGTTCATTTATATTCCATATTTGCTTCATAATAAATTATCTTTGGAAACTAAGCTCTTATAGACGTGTGATATTGTATGTTCCCTAACAGCTACTCACCCGCACTATGCGCGGCTATAAATAGTTTTTTCCACGTTATTCAAGCACTCTTTCTCCACCAATGATGGTAGTTATATTCGGATTCTCAATCAATACTCAAAAACTAACATAAGCGTTGTTTCTTTCTCCAGATTTTCTTTTCATGAATATGTTGATGATGAAGGATTAATCCTTCAAAACATGTCCTCATGTCCATGACCGTTGGTCAATATTGAATTGTGGATATTAAATATCAGATGAGTACATAATATAACATACTTAACTGGGAACCATAATCATACAACACATTGTATTACTCACATTCCGAGAGAGTGTAATAACAGTCATTCATGTATCAAGGGTGAAAAATAGGCTTTCATGAGGGCCGCGTGTAATTTAGCACGCCTAGGTTCATAAAAACAAGTAACGCCGGAAATACATACAACATTTGATGCACGACCGGTAAATTCAGTTTCTTCTATTGTGAATACCTCTTCACCTCTAGAGATCAATAAAAAAAACCATGGATCTAGTCAATTTTTTCCATTGGGAGTAGACTTATATAGTGTCAATTGATAATAACAATAATGTCATCACGTTCAACTCATTTTGGGTTCTATCTTCATTATGCATTTCAGGAATATCAAGAGAACCGTAATATTGAATGAGGAACCATCACAAATGGAACCTGATGGTCTGACCTGTACAAAAATACCTATAACAAGTTACCTATGCGTCGTGCGGTAAAGTAGTCCGTTGGCGGTAAAGTGCCACTTTGCGCCTGCAAAATCGGACAGTTAAGTGCTACTTTACGCCCTGTCGTGAATAAACTAGTTTTCCATCGTTATAATAATTGGATAACCTCAATTATTCAATATTGAATTGGTTTCACAATATGAGATGTATAGGTATCCATTTTAAAATGATACCATGAGGTTTATCATAATAATGAGAAAAACAATTCTTTGACTATTTATATTGATTGAATATTCCTTGGATTTCTTGAGTCTTTGGAAGAGACAGTTCTATGATGGCGCTATTTGAACCAAAAACTGTAGCACATTTATTCAAAATGGTTCCCACATCTTCATTTCAGTATCATATCTAATAACTGTATAATAACAATGGTATTATATACTTGTGTTAACCTATAGAATCATTGATATACACTGCTTCTGAAATGAATTTTATTCTGGGTTACCAGATCGGTATAATATTAAGTGTGACTATATTTCACTCACTTGACATTTGATTGCATAGTAGTGAAGCCGACAATTCCATCTTCTCCATTATTCAAGTCGTCAGTCATAGGAAACCCTTCCTGTTTGGCTGCCAGAAGGAGATCATCATTCATTGGTGGTGCATAGTTATACCTTCCTATAGTGAGTGGTCCTTCGAATCCATGATATTTCTCGTCAACTAAGTGTTCTGTATTCGAAAACAAAATTAGAGTTCAAGGAGAATGGTGGAAGTTCTTGATAAAATGAATGAATATATTATTGAAAAATACATATGCTGCATTGTTTACAAACGAGATCATCTGAATGAGGACCACATCAGATGAAATTATTTGAGAGATGTTATGATTTTTCTTATGGAAGTAATTAGATTTTCATTTTGGTGAAGATCAGGAAACTAGTTTTTTCTCTTAGATGATACAACCGAATCATAAGATATTTTTCTGCAGAACTTATTCACGAAAAATTTATCAAGTATTTTTTTGACCTTGACATTTGGAACTGTCGATTTTTCAATCACAGCTTAGTAACTGGATCAGGAAAAGTCATCAGATGATTGTTGTAGAATTTCAATGAGTTGTGAGATAACTCAGCGTGTCTTCGTACCTGGATCTTATCAAGTGAGTAGTTATAACTTCAATATTCCAGAAAGTAGATTCATTTGAAGAAAGAAAGCGTGAACTTGCATGAAAAAAATATACCTTGGTCATGTTTGTGTTTCTGAAAAAGTAATTGATTACTGTGAGAGAAACGATGATTCGTCTGAAGACCATATCAATTCTTATCGCATATTCCTTAAGCTCTGATGATTTTTCTAAGTGTGAATTCCTTGCCAAAGTAACGAATCGTATCAGATACACTGGGTTCGCAGATGTGACTGTAGTGTTGAAAGGCAAACAGCAATCTATAAACGGGTTCATTGGTACGAGTAACACATTATCTGTTTGTCATATAGTGGTAAGAAATTGTGCAGGCTACATCAGGAAAAGCGGGTTATATATTTGGCATGATGACAGACGAGACTATGAACCGCCCAATGCTTCTTCTGATGAAACGAAGCATTTTTTTAAATACCACAACATTTTTTCTGTCGAAAATTAAATGATATCACTGCAAACGAGATCCACAGATGCAATTGAATTGAACATCTCAGTCATGTACAGTGTTTAACAATGGACTGTATTCTCAAATATTTTACGTTGTGGAATAAATGTCGTCGTTCAATTCAACAGTATTTATTTCGCCTATCACAATGGTACAATGACAATGAAAAATTTACTGACTGACGTATATGTCGAATGCTCCTGTTTATATGGTAACGGGAGTAGGACTCGCTTCAGGACTGTAACGCGGAAACAAGGGGAAAAAATTCAGATGATTGAACATGCTGCTCACCTTGAAAGGGGATCCTTTCAACGAGAATACAAAAAATATAACAAAATGAAGTTATTATGATTGTTCATGAAGTTCATATAGGTAACAAATGGAACAATTTGCACGTTCAACACAATAGTCTGCTTTTATTCACTCACTGCATATAGGTTATGGGCAGAATTTGGCAGAAATTCTCTTGAGGTTACCTGCAGAGGTATAGCTACCCTTGCCAGGTGGTCCTTTCCATGAATCAGCTCGACTATTCGTCCTAATGCCCACTCGAGCGGAGGGAGGTTATCATCTTTTAGCAACACTAAGTCGTCGACTTTGAGGGAGTCATTCATGATTGGTTTTCCATTTGTGTCGCTGTTGGAGTTCGCTGATGTACTCTAGAGACCAGCGCTTTCAAAAATGTTGATAAAGCTGATGGATACGTTGAAAGTGTGACAGCCTGCTTTCTGTAACTTCAGTCTGGTCTTGATCTGCGATTGATGTTAAGGCTCTTCCAATTAGGAAGTGCGAGGGAGCAAGTGGTGTCAAATCTGAGGAATCGGTATTCCAGAGAGGAAGAGGACGAGAATTCAGTGTAGCTTCTATTTGAGTAGGGTATGAAATTGTTCGAATGTTAGTGGAGCATCACTAGCAACTCTCCGAAAGTGATGTTTCACTGATTTCACCCCAGACTCCCAGAAGCCTTCAAAATGTGGTGAGTATGCGGGTATAAGTGACCATAATATTCTCATATTTCTGATTTCGTTAGTCAATTCATCGCTGTTATACATCGGAAAATTTGATAATTTTTCAATTTCTGTTTTAGCACCAGTATAGTTGGTTTCGTTGTCAAAATAAATGAAAGTTGGCTTACATCTACGGTCTGCATGAAGCAATAAAAGCTTCTTTTGAGAGATCAGACACCAACTCTAGGTGAATTGCGCAGGTTGTGGAACATACCAATAAGCCTATGTAACATTTCGATAGGCTAGCACCATGACCCCGTTCAATCTTGATCAGAAAAAGACCTGCAAAATCACATCCTGTTGTGTGAGAAGGTGGAGCGGATATCACTCGCTTTTCTGACAAGTTCTACATGATGGGATGTGTTAGAGTCGGTTCTGCTCTGAAACAACATGTACACTCACGCACTATTTTTCGCACAAGATTTCGACCTGCTAGAGGCCAATACCAATCATGTCTTGAAATTAGCAGAAGTTGCGGACCTGCATGTATCAATTCTGAATGCTGTTCTCTGAACAACAACTTGGTGAATCAAATTGCGAGTTCACTAACCTGCCACCACATTGTAGCAATCCATCGTTATTAATAAAAGGATTGAGTCTGCTCAAAGCATTCTCAATGTGTGATCCGTTTTCTAATAAATCACGAATTTCGTTTTCAAATGATTCAGACTGGGATCATTAACCGAGGTTTCTGTTTGAAAGATCAATTCCTTGTGATTTTAAAGGCCCCACCTTATCAATTTTGTGAATTGAGAGAAGTGGTCAAATACTCCATTGGGAGTTTCTATTATATGAGTATGACTCAACAACCCTACGCGAGCTTCTGGTAGTTCAGTAGAGTTGTTCGCTGGCAAACGAGGCCCAACTTCTTCATGGCTTTGTAGCCAATCTGGACCATGCCAATAGAAGTCCATGTTTCTCAGCAATTTTGGGCATTAGCCCTCGTGACACACATTTCTTTGGATTTTGTGAAGGAGGAACGTGACGCCAAAAGGTTATATTAGTTAACTCCTGTATAGTTGCCACACGATTAACAGTGAAAGTTTGCAATTGATTGGGTTCCATCCTAAGCCATCCTAATAAGATGGTCCAATAGTAGGTAGTAATTTCGGTACTTTTCAATGATTCCTTCAATCCGTTCGTCGAATATTCAACTGTTTGATGGGTGCCACTTTTTATTTTGCGCAGACTAATCTGACGCTGACCATATTATCTTTATCTTTCAACTTTATGTAGATACACGCGCCGTTAGCTAATTGAAACGCATCAGAGAATCTATGAATTTCCCAATATTTGGGTTCTTCACAAGTAATTTGTCTATCTATTTGAATTTAATTGAGAATGACAAGTTCATTGCAAAATGATGACCAGTTTGTGTGTAATGGTACTAGTAGGGACTCGTCCCAGGACAATTTGGCAGACCAACGCTCTTGTAACATGATTTTTGCCATTATGATGCAAGGGCTGAGCAAGCCCAGTGGATCAACGATCAACTTGAGAAGTTTCTGTTGAAATCGAGCATTTAGTTACTTGTGTGTTATTGAGTGTAGGGTTAATCTTGAACACTAATGAATCTGAGTTGCTATTTCGAAGAATCACTAAAGTCTCAGTGTTTTCATTGACGCCAAATTCAATGAAATTTGAAGTATCCGCAAACTTGATACCTGTCAATATTTCTGGAATGTTTGAGATCTATTTTCTCAGATTGAAACAGCCGCTTTTGAAAACATCTGAAACCTCATTGGCAATGTATAAAGCATCCTGGATAGTATCTGCACCACTCAACATGTCATCGACATAAAAATCATCTTTGATCTTTGATCAACCATTTCTAGTTTCATGCCTAATTGAAATAATGACCGAATAGCTGACTACGATGCAGATGCGGTTCTGTGGGTGACAGTGAGCCACTCATAGGAATCCAAGGGTTTGTCGGGATCGAAGCGAAATGAAATTCTTTGCGAGACCAGGCCTCAAGCATTTCAGACAGAGCATATTTTGTTTGAAATGTTCATAGCAATCATTAACTGGGATTTTGAGAAACTCCTCGCAATTTGATACGTAATGATCCTTTTCACAAAAGACGTAGCTAACCGCAATTGTAGCTGCAGCAACTAAAGATCAAGTTTTGGAATCAGGCTCAGTCAATTTCATTTCTTGCAATTTTTTGTCAACTTTGCTACGTTCTATCGTTTCAAGCAGATCTGCGTCATCTTACAAAAATGTTTTCAGATCTTCCAAAGTTGCTTTTTCCAGGAGCATTTTACTTCTGGACTCCTCATATTCTCTAGGCGTGATTGAATCCAATTTTGTGACGATAAGGTTGATAATAGATGTATCCCTACTGTTACTAAGTTCATCAAACGTGTTTAACGCGCGGAAATGTTTTGCCACTACATCTAACAATTTTCGAATGGATTCAGATGATTCTTGTTTTATGTTGTTCGAATTGAAAAAGCTACCAACGTGATTGTTAACAAGAATTCTATCATTGTTAAAACGGGTGCAAATGAGTGACCATGCTGTTTCGTAGTTTCCTGCGAAAAATCCCAACGAGCGAATGATTTCCGCTTCACAACCTTTCACAGATGCACGAAGGTAATGGAATTTCTGAACTTCACTAACCGTGGAATTTTCATGTTTGAGAGAGCTGAACATATCGTGAAATTTCAACCAAGTATCGTAATCACCTCCAAACTCTTTCAGCTGAATGGTAGGTAATTTGATATTATTTTGTATCAAATTATCGTTGAAAGAGATTATGGAGTGTGAAGATTGCCGCGTAAAAGGCATATGTGAAACTCTCGCGTTCTTTCAGTTCTTGCTCTATGTCTTCAGTAAGAATATCGATTTCATTTTGGTTTTTTTCAAACTCCTCTGATTCAGACATATTAGTTTCACGCCTCAATTCTAGTTCAAAATGAGGTTTCCTGTCTGCTTCTATGAAATCAGGATGAGTTTCGAATCAGCTAAATATTTCGAGAATATTGTCTACTTTTCACTCGCTCCTAATGAGAGAGTCCATTCAAACGAGATGAAAATTTGAATGCTATATTACCCGGTACCCACGACAAATCGA